CACACCGGCCAGGGACAGTGAGAATGGGAACAGAAATGGAAAGAGTAAAAGAAGGCACGACGATAGAACAAAACCAAAGGGTTCAGGAAGGGAGCAGGAGGCGGCTTGGAGGAGAGGTAGTCTAGGGGAGATGAGGCCAAGGAATGAAGGCATGGGCAGAGTCGCCGGGGAGAAAGGAAGAAGGGCACCAACCTGACTGAGAGGGAGAAGTCTCCCTGGTTCTTTCGGCTGGGCCGGGCCAAGAAACTCCCATGGACTCCGCGGCCCTTCAGCAGAGTCTCAGCATCCAGGCCACTGAGATCTCGGTGAAACCACCTGTGGAAGGGAACCCACCGCTGGGGATGAGGGCCACAAAAGGCTGGGACAGTTGCTGTCCAGAGCCCAGCACTCGGCCTCCCTTTTCTAGACACAAGAGAGCACCTGCTCCCCTGAACCTTAGCTCCTCTTGTGGTCCCTCCCACCTCCAGCATCCTGCACCCTAGGTCCTTACCTCACCATTCTGGGAAGACTTCCTGAAGGGTAGACTGATGGGTGAGGAGGGAGACAGTATAGACTGGACCCAGGACAGGGCTCGGAGCTCTTCCCTGGTACCACAGAGCCCAGCCCCTCCTTGCACTGGTCCCTAGCTCCCAGAAGCACCACCAGTACAGGGCAGCTGGGGGGGGGCGGGGACAGGAAGGGGCGAGGCCAGACCCCCAGAGGGAACTCACTTCTACTTCTCCTTTTGTAGATGAGCTGAGAAAGCAGGTCCTGGATGTCACACAAGCGTGTGATTTCTTAACACACATGGAGCATGTCATGCACACACATACACATGTGTGTGATGGCAATACGTACTCAAAATCACATGGGCTCATGCGCATACCTGCTCCCAAAGGTCACACACGTGACCTCACACGCAGAAGCATGCTCATGTGCATAGAAAACGAATTCGTCTGTGACTTCTAACACTTCTCTCCTCCCCTCCTCCCAAACCCTCCTCCATCTTGATTGCATCTATAGACTGACCCAGGTCCCTGCCCATGCTCAGAAAGAGAAACAGAAAGAGAGCCAGGTGGATAAAAGGTAACACCAAAAGATCACCTATGTGCCATTTCCCTAGGGAATAGGTAAGCAGGGGCATGTCAAGAGCAGAGGAGAGAAGAGGGCATTCCAGGGCAGGGGCTGAGAAATAATGTTCAACAAGGAGAAACGCACCAAGGAATGGAAGTAAAAAAAATGGACAGGATGATCTCTGGGTAGGCTTCGGGGTAGTGCGTGGTTGTGCTCTCCACTTATGGGCCAGGCTAGATGGCTCCACCAGAAGGGAATGTTTGGTACAGAGGGCCATGGAAGTCATAGAAGTCCAGAACCCTGCCTCCACTCTGTTGGAGGGGGTCCTAGCTGTTTCTCTAGCCTTCTAGCTTGGCATCTTCTCCCTAAAGGGCTCTCTGGACTGCCAGAGAGATGGCTGGAAGCCAAAGAGGCTCTGCAGCTGAAGAATAGAGCCTGGGGGCTCCCAACTGTTGACAGTCATCTTAATTACTTATTTTAATTCCTGCCAGTGATTCTTTCCAAAGGAACCCAGTGAAATGGATAGAGCTCTAGTTTTGAAACCATGAAACCTGGATTCAAATTTCAGCTGTACTATCAACTACCTTCCTTCCTTCCTTCCTTTGCAACCTTAGGCAAATCACCTGGGACTTGCCTCTCTGGGACCCACTCTCCTTACCTGCAGAATGAAGGGGTCGGATGAGTGAGCTCTAAGATTCCTTCCTGCTCTAAAGCTATGATAGATGATCCCCTCATCCAGAATAGATTCTCTCCTCACCCTGGTCCCCTATCCTGGAAGTCCTAGGACTATGGGAAGGATATCAAATGCTTGGGAAAGCATAATTCCCACCACAATCAAGCGGACTCCAGTCTGGGAGAGAAATTGACCCGGAGCATCCCAGGTTACAGGGAGCCAGGCAGGCCAAGAAGCTTGGGACGGGACACCCAAGGCTATATACTCTTCTCCACTGCTTAAGAACAGAAAGGGAAGGGAAGGAAAGGGAAGTGTTGATTTTGAAGGACTAGATTCACTCTGACGAGAAAAGAGTCAGGTTGGGAGCACATGCAGAGATTCACACACAGTCATGCAATATTCAGATACCTAGACTACATGCCAATATCACCATCCCCATTACCAAACATTTATTGATCGCCTGGCTAATGTACAGAGATCTGAACCAGGCCCTGGTGCTAATAACCTCTCAGTTAATCAATAAGCATTAATTAATTAAGTGCTTGCCAGCCACAGTGCTAAGAGCCGGGCATACAAAGAAAGGCAACATGACTCTTTTCATGGAGTTCACATTCTAGACAACGTGGAAATCCACTATGGATACACAAGGTGGATGTCAGGAAATCTTAGAGGAAAAGGGGCTAATAGTAGCTGGGGGAGCCCGCAAAGGCCTTCGACAAAAGGTGGGATAACAGCAGAGACCTAAAGTAAGCCAGGGAAATGAAAAAGCAGAAGGCAGGAGAGCTTTCTAGCCAGGCTGACAAGGGCAAAGACAGAAATAGAGAGAGTTCAAGGAAAAACAAAGAGTTCGCAGAGTTGGTAAGAGTTAGGTGTTAAGAAGGTAGGAAGGCAACTAGTTGTGAAGGACTTTAAAGGCCAAAACGGATGATTTTATCCTTGATTCTAGAGGTGATAGGGAACCACTGGAGTTTATTGACTGAGGGTGGGAGGTGGGGATGATATGGTATGATGTGCGCTTTAGGGAAATCACTTTGGGAAGGTATTTGGTTTGAAGTAGGACTTGAGGCAGGAAGACCTATTAGAAATCTAGTGTAAATAGTCAAACAGGCAAATTCCGGAAAGCAATTGGGAGCCCTGTCCAAAAGTTACTAACTATGCATACCCTTTGACCCAGATATAACACTATAAGGCGGATGCCAAAATGAGCAGGATCAAGAGAGAATTGTATACAGTAACAGCAATATTGTTTTAAAAATGACTCTGAGCAAATAAGTCATTTTGACCATTATAAATACCCAAATTAACTATAAAGGACGTGTGACAGAAGACATCTGCATCCAGAGAAAGAACTTATAAACAGAAGTATGTTGCTGTTTGTCCTTTGTTCCTGAAGAGGACCTTGACATTAGGAAGGTGATGCCATGACTTGCAAGTGATTTAGATTTAAGGGAGGGAGAGCTATGCAAAGTCATCAGCCTCACTTTCTCCTCCAAAGCCATCCGGTCCAGTGACAAGATACATATAAGGATGACTAGAGATGGCCCCCAGCAGTATGTATAGAATAATTTTACATATATATCTATTTGTGTACAATGGTGGCCATCTCTAGGGAGAGAGGGAAGAAAAAAAGGGGGATAAAAAAGAAATTTACATGATAACTTTGTTGTATATTTAAAAGGAATAGCAAGTTGTACATAGTAGATCTGCAGTTTCATGTGCAATCATCTTTTTTATTATACTATGTTATGGAAATTTATTCCATAAATTAAAAATAAAATAAATTTTAAAAAGAAATCAAAGAGATGTAAAAACAAAAGTATCTATAAAATTTTAAAAATTAAAACTGATTATAGACAAAAAAAGAAGAAGAAGAAGGACCCATATGTAGCAGTTCTTTTTGTAATAGCAAAGAACTGGAATTAAAAGGTGCCTATCAATTGGGGAATGGCTTAAACAAATTACAGTCTATGGATGCATGAATACTATTTTGCCATAAAAAATGATGAAAGGGATGGATTTGTGGAAACCTGTATGCATTGATGCAGAGTGAAGTGAGGAAGAACCAGGAGAAAAATTACTTATAAAAACAAAACTGTAAAGACAACTTAGAAGGACTTAAGAACACCAACCAACTCAATAACTAGCCATGATTCCAGGGGACCAAATGTGCTTCCCACCTCCCAACAGAGAGGTAATAGACTCAGAATGAAAAATGAAGCTTATTTTTTTTACATGACTAACATAGGAACTTGTTTTGCTCAACTATGCATATTCATAACAAGGGCTTTCTTTTTCTTCCCCCTGCTAATGGAGGTTTGAGAGGGAGAGGAAATAAATGCTTATTAATTGAAAAAAAAAATACCAACAGTCTAAGTGAGAGGTGATGAGGGTCAAAACTAGGGACATAACTGTGTGAGTGAAGAGAAGGGGATGTAGATGAGAAGTATTGTAAAGGCAGAAATGACAAAATTTGACACGTTGGATATTTTGGATGAATGTGAGTAAGAAGTTGAGAATGACATCAAGGTGTCAAGCCTATAAGAAAGTTAGGAAGAGGGAAAAAGAATTAAGTTCTGTTTTAGACATCTTCAATTTGGATTGTTAGTTGGAGACCCAGGACTGGAGGACTGTCCAAAAGGCAATTAGTTGGTGATTCAGGACTGGAGCTTGGGAAAGAGATTAGGTCTAGATAAATAGATCTGGTAATTATTTCTATAGAGATGACAAGTGATGAGAACACAAAGTGAGTATAGAGAGAAAAGAGAAGTGGGTCCAAGAAAGAAGATTGGGGAAACACATACAGCTAGTGAGCAGGATATTTATAAAGATCCAGCAAAGGAGACTGTGTACCGGTCAGAAAGGTAAGAAGGAGATCCAGGAAAGGGCAGTGTATAAAAACAAAACAAAACAAAACAAAAAACTAGAGAGAATTGAGAATCCAGAAGGGTGTTTGGCAGTTTTAAAGGTTGTAGACAGGTCAAGAAGGATAAGGATTGAGAAAAGGCCATTAGATTGGGCAGTTAAGTGATCCTTGGTAATGTTAGACAGAACAGTTTTACTGAACAATGAGATCTGCAGAGAGTTTAGAAATGAGTGAGATAAGAAGTGGAGGCTTTGGTTAAGAAGGGGAGGAGAGATATAGGATCATAGCTACTGGGGATGGTCAGATCAAGTGAAATTTTTTTTTAAGGATAGGGGAGACACAGGCATATTTGTAGGCAGTGGAACAGTCTATAAGTTGAAAGGAGAACACTGAACAATAGAAAGATACTAGGGATGATTGTGGGAACAATCTTCTAGAGAAGATGAGAGGGGAAGGGGTCAAGGATGCATGTAGAAGGGTCATCCTTGACAAAGAGAATGGCTACCTCTTCATACTAGTGGTGAAAGAGGGGATAGCGGGAGGGGAAGATGCCTGAGTGATCGGAGAAGATGAGGAGGGGATGAGTGAATGGTCTCAGTTTTTTTGGTGAAATACAGGATAAGGTCCTCAGTTGAGGAGAGGGGAGGGGTGTGGTAAGATACTTGAAGAGGGATGAAAAACTTTGGAACAGCCCAGGGACTTAGTGGAAGGAAAAGTGAATTGATTAGGGAATCACAAAAGGATTGCCTTTCTGCTGTGAGGGCCCAGTTGAGGTATGTAACATAAATTTGTAGTACATCAGGCAGGTAGGGTGCAGATTGTAGAAAATACAACCTACTTTATTCTGAATCCTTCTTTGGAGGAATTCATTCTTCTCTCCTCACTCTTTCCTTCACCCTATGTATCCTATATCTCCGTATCCATCCCCTTCTCTCAAGTCACACCAAAATCTTCATTACCTTCACCTGGATTATTGAAATAGCCCCCTAATGAGCCTCCTTGCCTTACGCTTCCTCTTCTTTTTTCCAATTCACCCTCAACAAGCTGCCAAAGTGATACACCTAAAGCGCAGGAATGGCCATGCTACTTTTCTGCTCAAGAAGCATCAATGACTCCCTACTACCTCCACGATCAAATATAAATGACTCTGGCTTTTACAACTGTACTCGAGTCTACATTTCCAAGCTCCTTACACATGACTCCTCTTAATACACTCTTACAGCCCAGCCAAACCGGGCTTCTTACTGTTTTTTACATTCAACCCTCATTATATTCCACCTCCCATCTCTATGTCTGGGATACACTCTTTCACCTCCATCTCTTACAATTCAGTTCCCTTCAGAGATCAGCTCAAAACTGAGGTCTTTCCTGACCCCCGTCCCTAGCTGCTAGAACTATCCTAAACTCCTGGGGGGGAAAAAAGGGAAATTATGTTTAATTTGAATATATTTTACACATGTCTCTATGTTGTTTCTTCTCATAGAATAGGATCTTTGAGCCAAGACTTCCTCTTCGGTCTTTGCATCCCCAACCTCTAGAGCCTTTTGGCTGTCTGGTGAAACCTCCAGACATCTCCTCAAAATAATGTTTTTAAAGATATAAAATATAGAAAATTACAAAAGAAATATAGTTAACAAAAATGAATTTTTTTTAAGTTCAGGGACCCTAGGTTAAAATCCCTAGCACTGGGAACTAATTAAATCCTTATTGACTGGTGATTCTGTAGCAAATATACACTGTTAACAAAGATTTTTGAGGGAAGAGAATATGCACAAAGCAATTATTTCAGAAGGTTGACTAGGTAACAGCGTATACGTGATACATAAAGGGAAGAGAATAAGTCTTTATCTAGTGCCTACTACATGCTGGCCCTTTACAAATATCTCATTTGATCCTCACAACAGCACTGTGAGGTAGATGCTGTTATTATCCCCATTTTATAGATGATGAAACTAAGACAAACAGAGCTTAAGTGACTTGCCCAGGATCTCATAGCCAGTAATTGCCTGAAGACAGATTTGAACTCAGGTCTTTCTGACTCTAGTCCTGAAGCTCTATCTCCCATGCCACCTGGCTGACTCTCTAAAAAGAGAAAAAAGACTGAAGTCAGGGAAATTGCTTCAATACAAACACAAGAGATCAAAGGACTGAATTACAGTAGCCACCTATAATAGTGATATTGGGAGAAAGTGGAAATACAGTGTGAAGAATTCATAGACTTAGTCTAGGTTCCTTTAGGCCAAGTCCTTCTTGATAAATTTTTATATTTTTACAGACTTCTTCTAGCACTTACAACAGTGTTATGTACTCAATAGGTGCTTAATAAATGTTTCTTTGTTTTAAAAGAACGTTGAAAGGAGTTAGTCACTGTATTCTAGGCCCAAGGGAGGAGGAATCAGAGATGATTCTTGGGGCAGCTAGGTGGCGCAGTGGATAGAGCACCAGCCCTGAAGTCAGAGGACCTGAGTTCAAATCCAGCCTCAGACCAAACACTTGACACGTATTAGCTGTGTGACCTTGCGCAAGTCACTTAACCCCAATTGCCTTACCAAAAAAAAAAAAAAAAAGATGATTCTGAGATTCTGAGCCTAGGTGCCCTGGAAAAATGACAGCACCAAGAAGTTGAGTTCAGGAGACAGTTTCAGGTGGAGGTGCCCAGGAA